GTGGAATAGGAAGCTGATTTCTGCTGCATGGGATACACATCCACTTGCTTCAAGCCACTGGGGCAAGTGTGGTAAGACTTGAAAAAATAACAAGTGTAAAAGTCAAATTTATTTTGTCTGATACAAATTCCATGCTGTCACTTAAACATAAAAACTACATTCAGAATATGAAAAATGTACTTCAGGTCCTGCACAAGAAGAGATAAGGTTTCCAATACCAGGGAAGGACACTTGCTTTCCTAGTAAACTGCACAACCCTCAAAAAAGTAGCACTCACCTCAGACAGGAAAGTGGGGGAGATCCATGTTTCAAATAAAGCAGTTGGAGGGTGAATACAGTATTTAAGAAAATAACATGAAACTCAAAGCTACCGTGAGAGTAAGTGTTGCACACTTGTCTCTAAGTTTAAGGATTTTCTTTTTGAAGCAAGTCAGAACTAAGAAAGCAGGTCTTGAATAAAAATTCACAGAGACTGCTTTAATCAAGAAGGGTTTGACCTTTACCATTTTTCTGCTTAGAATATTTAAATTTGGCAGAGATGCTAATTTCACAGGAATGTAACACAGTATAGTAGGAGAGTTAGTGGGTAATTCATGGAGTGCTTTTATTGTTTTTAATGAGTTCAGATTTATTTTCTTCTGCTTTCTGCAGATAAACTTGTCACACAACTTCGTATATAACTTACATGAAATACTTTATACATAATAAATTATATCAATATTTAGTATTTCTCTTTAATAAAAATGGTAAACTCTTCGCAAATAAGGTGGCTTTGCACAATACTGCCAACTCAGAAGTTAATGATGGAGGATAGTATGAGAAATTATTAGTTATGTCATATGTGGTTTTCTCATTCAATGGAAAATAAAGTATTTTGAGTGAAAAAATAGAAAAAGGCGGGGAGGGTTGGTTTGTTGGGGGTTTTCTTGTTGCATGGTTTTTAACATTGCATTAGGTTGACTGAATGGGAGGCTTATGTTACCTGCAATGAGCTATAGATTTGTGATGTGTAGTAGTGATTACATTGTTACACAGCTTAATTAAGGGATTGAAGGCAAAGAGAGATTTAAACAGGGCTCGTGAGCTTGTAGGCTAGTCTTTTTTTCTCCAAATATTAATTCATCTCATGTTACCTTTCTCTCAAACTGTAATCTTATTTTTATTCTATATGGTAAGTATAAATGTGCATATATATAAGTCTTCCGATACTCAAGGGGACATAAACACATCAGCAACAAAAGGAGGGCTAAGGAGAAGCTCTATCATTTAAAGAATGTAGGGGAGAAACAGTGACAAAGGCTGAGGTAGTTAACACCACCTTTGTCTCAAAATTAAAGTCAGTTGTTCTTAGGGTGCTGGTTGACAGCAGCTGACCATGAGCCAGCAATGTGCCCAGGTGGCCAAGAAGGCCAATGGCATCCTGGCCTGTATCAGAAATGGTGTGGCCAGCAGGACAAGGGCAGTGATTATTCCCTTGTATTCATCACTGGTGAGGCCGCACCTCCAATCCTGTGTCCAGGATTGGGCCTCTCACTACAAGAAGGACAGTGAGGTGCTGGAGTGTGTCCAAAGAAGAGCAGTGGAGCTGGGGACAAGTCTGGAGCACAAGTCTTAGGAGGAGCAGCTGGGGCTGTTTATAAAGCCTGGAGAGAAGGAGGCTCAAAGAGGCACTCTCACAGCTACCTGAAAGGACATTATAGTGAGGTGGGGGATCGGTTCCTTCCCTCAGTTAACAAGCAGGAGGACAAGGGAGTAGGGCTTCAAGTTGCGCCAGGGAGGTTTAGATTGGATACTAGGAAAAATTTCTTCACAGAAATTGTCAAGCATTGGAATGGGCTCCCCACAGAAGTGGTGGAGTCACCATCCCTGGAGGCATTTAAAGCACGAGTGGAATTGGCACTTAGGGACACATTTTTTCTGGTATCCTAATCTGTGTTCTGTTCATTAGCTAAATAAAATGTTGAAATTCAGGGAGTGCCATCGGTCTACTCTGTTGCTGAATGCATTTGAATAAAAGTTATAGGCTTTCAGTTATCTCTGCTATGCTCCATAAAGGGGAAAACAGGAAGGTTCCTCATCTCTTCTGTCACTGAGTTACATACAGTTTGGCTGAGAAGTCTGCTGTGCAGCTTAGTCTGTCCTTGCCTATCTTGCCCCCAGTACTAGTGGAGGCATTATATGGAACTCTTAAAGTGTAGTCTTGGCCACAGCGACTTCTGGGAGTTATACAGGAGTGTGCAGAAAAATAAATGCCAATAATCAGTTACTTGCAAATGTGTAAGTGGATGACTTCTATGAATTTCAGTTGGTGCAGATAAAGCTAAATTTCAGATACTACGACTGGATTAGGAGCAATTGTTGCCTCTAAAGTAAATGCTTAACCTGCCCTGATGAACCTGGAGCAAGTTGTGTTTGAGAATGCCAGCAGTTCATTCAGTCCGTGTTAGGTGTCTGCCTCCCTGCATCTTAAGGGACAGGAGCAATAAAATGCCAGCACTAAATATGCTGGTGGTCCACTCAACCTAGCCTTTTTTGTCAGTAGGCTGACATCCAATCCTTAAGGGGAAGGAAGCACCCAAGATTCGTAGATGATTATGGTCAAAAGGAGTGATAGTCAGGGGGTCTGCAAAAGCTCAGGAAGTTTTATTAGTAAATTACACAGGTGGCATGGAAATTGGTGTGTTAGTACCTGACCTACTATGTAAGCACATGGCAGTTGGTTTTGGATAAAGGGTAAGATGAAAGGGAAGAGCCAAGGAAAGAAAAAAGAGATTACTAGTCCTTGATCCAGCATTGGTCCAACCTATGAGGTGTCCTGAGGCATGCAGCCAGTCTTGGTGGAGATACTTTTTAAAGATAGGTTTTCCCTGCCCTGAAGATAGTGACTCACTTTCTATGCAAGTTAGTTATCATGTACAATCCATTATTTCAGATATGGGGAATTTTCTTTCTTTCCAGAAGTGAGTTGGAGGGTCTTTGGTGGTCTTGATCCCCCCCTACAGTCTACGTCCACTTCTCAGCCTCATTCCTGCCCTTGCGTTTCACCATGTTGTGCTTATCTCCAGGAACTGGAACTAAGATGTTTGTGCGTGAGAAGTGCTGCCCTACCTCCACATGGCCCCCTTCTCAAGCCACATCTTGTTCTTTCTTATTGGAGTGTTATTACCGACAATCCTTGGTTGGCTCCACAGCTGTCTGGCTCTAAGTGTTTGAGACATACACATCAACCTCTTCTGGGATTCTACAGTAGGCATGCAACAAGGCAGAGATGGCTCTCATATGGATGAAGATTGTTGGTGACAATTTCTGCCTTCCTTTCACGTAATGATTTCTTCATTAGAGGAAATGCTCAGGGAATAGGTAAAGCAGAAGAGGCACTCCATACTTTCATGCTCCTATTGAACAGGTAGGAAGAAATAGAAAAAACATCAGAGTAAATTAAGTTTCTGCAGGCTACTTCATTGGCTCAAGACCTAAGCCAGGAAGGTTTTTTTGATTCCTACTTCAGCAGGACTAGTTATACTCTAGATGTTTCCCTGCAGGTGAGTGGTAGGTGTCATGGACTTTGTATCAATGCACAAGCTGTTATTACATGCTGTAAACATGCATAAGATTGAAATGCACCACTTACTGGTATGTTACAGTGTTTCAGTACAAAAATATATGGTGCTCACTGTCTTGGGTGGGTGAATGAAAGCAGATGTGTTTGATTCCTCATACAGTGATGAGGTGCTCTTGGGGTTTAAGTCACACATGAACATAACACTGAAAGACCAGTGGTGAGGTGTACCTCTGCTGTGTTTTCCTGTGGTAGATGAGAGTTCTCACGAGCAGAAATATATAATTCATTTAACACTTATGTGCCTTTAGTGTGTATTCTTTGTATAGGGTTTTTTTTTAATAAGGACTGTTTCCATGTACCCTGAAATCTTTTTCTGGATCTTTGGACAGAGAAAGGAAATACCTTCACAGGGAAATACTTTAACAGCCTTTGAAAAAGATAATGCACTTATATTTTGAAACAACTTCTTGATATTTTACTTCACAGAATATACACACATATTTATGTGGGACAGTAAACAAGAAATAATTAAGGATTTTATTTATCATTCATGTATTCTTTTGACAACAAAATTTCATCAGAACAATTTAGATAGCTGTGAAGATCATTATATAAAGATGTAAAGAATAAGTTATGATATGTAAGTATTACACTTTGAGGTCAGTTGTGTAGGTCAGCTTGAGTAGTATAAGAGATGTCAAGAAAACATTGCTAAGTACATTGAATCCATCTTACAATTAATTCTTCTTTAGAGTCACAACATATAACTATGCCTAAACTATTAATGATTTACATGGACTTACAATAGACATAGTGATACAAGAACTGACTACTAACTTATTAAATATTTGATTTATTTGTACACTGGAGTATCAAACTGGAGTCCTGTACTCCTAATATGACAGCAATATTTGGGTTATCAGAGAGAAAAGATGTTCATACAACTTTTAAGACAATATTTGCTCTTTCAGTGTGAAAGCATCTTATGGGGAAAAAAACACTTCTTTGTCATTATGCAAATTACTGGTCCAGGCATCTTGTTCTGAAACAAATGCTTTTCATGTGAAGCACATGCATTTTTACAGCTATTTTTACAGTGGTAAACAGTGGTCTCTATAATCCAGTAATTATTAAAGACCTTACAGAGGTCTCAGATTTGTGAATAATACGAACAATTTTAAGCCCTGGAAGTATGAGTTCATTAGCATTTACTCCTCTTAAGCATCATCTGGACTGAAATATATTATTTCAGTGACATCATAACAGCAAATTCCATAAAATTAGGTCGCTATTTCTAATATGAAATAACATTTCCTCAAAGTTATAAACATGGTTTATCTTTTCTCACAGAGGTACATTTGAGAGGAAGATAATGATGTTAGTTACTTTTTTGCTATACACAAAAGTACAAGTACCTGGCTGATTTTTATATGTTACATACTATTTTCCCCTGTTTATAAGAACTGTATCAATATAGATAATCAGATGATACATTGCACAATGTTGCATAGAAGGCATTTTCTAAGTGTCTATCTAGTTAAAACATTTTTATTCATTACATTCCAACATTCATAACTCCAAATATGAAACTACCTAATAAATTAGTTATATAAATACAATAAATATATAAAACCCCATTTATAAAAAGAAGGATTTTGTATGTGATATGTAAGAGAATGCTGTGTCAATAGCTGTCCCAAGATAATACTGCAGTAGTAGTTGCATATCCCGCTTGTAAAACAAATGTGATACCCTTGATTCTATATTAAAATAAAATAATTTTATAGGCATTTAAATGAATTAATTAGGAAATACATGCACAAGATCACTTCCACAGATCAAAAACTTGGTCTGAGTTTATATTGTCATGCAACTTCTGATCTGGCATGTGCAAATGCTAATAGCAAGGGAGAAGAGGAGAAAAGTTTTCCAAAAGTTGTTCTGGTTTGCTTATTTTAATAAAGTAATTATGACATTATCATCCCTTCCTTGCCATAACATTTCTCCCTCAAAGTCCACCAGCCCATGTTTCCTGGCTCTCATCAGAATCCCAACAACCTTATCTGAAATACGAACATATCTCTCAAAGAGTTCCCCAAAAGTAACTTGGATCTTGCCGTCGGGCCGTGGCCGAGCCATTGATTCGATGATGAAGCACATGTCCCTGATCTCCCGATGGATATGTGCCTCTGCTCTCTTGGCTCTTTCAGCAGTTTTGGTTCCTTCCTTTGGATGGCCATATCCTTCATCTCCTTTGTGCAGGCGAGTGGACATGGCCAGCTCGTGGTCAAATTCCTCACTGAAAGGGTTCAGCTTCTGCGTTATGATGTGCTGGTCGGCCCATTCCTGCCACTTGTCCTTCAGGCTGTGAACGGCGCTGTGCTTCCTGCGGGAGTTGGCACGGGCCTCTTCGCTCAGCCTGCTTGCTCTGAAAGAAACACAAAGGGCATCTGTGCTTTGCATCTCTTAGTTTAATGGCTCAGTTCTGCTACTGATCTCTGCTGTTAACTGGTTACTCTGTTTTTGCAGACGAGATGGGAGCCACCAGGTGGCACGAGTTCACCACTTCTAAATTAGCTCTTTGGGGGCTGTTAGTCTAAGCTCAGTTTGCACTCAAATGCAAGTTCGCTGACCACAGCTTTATCCCGTCTATACTACCACCCTCCAGCCCACATTTGAGCCCGTTTTTGAAAACTTTCCCCTGAATATCTTAATTCTGTATGGGAGCAAAACAGCATGCTGCTAACTACCTGCACTTTCTGTACTTTTGATTAGTCATGCAGCTCCCCACTTGCGTGCCTACCCAAGCCCAAAATCTGCCCCCCATGAGGTTAGAGATGGCAATAATTGTAAGTGTATGATCTAGGTCCTCCACTGTTCTTGGCTGAAAAACAGAGAGTAGGGTCTAGAAAAATCTCTCCTCTGTAATAGATGCCAATAACTAAAGGAACAACAACAAGCTAATAGAGTGTGTTAGCTTGGCCTATGATTCTATATTTGAAGTATGGTTCTGAACAAGTACTGAAGTCCAAAATTCACACTCCCATGGGCAGGGTAAAAACCTGACAGAAACTTAAGGCTACTGAAATCTGTGTCAATGTCAAAGGATGAGGAAAGGCCTTCAGAGGTCTTTTGTGTGTGTGTGTATGTGTGTGTGTGGGGGGGGGGGGGGGGGGGGTTGTGTTTTTGTGGTTTTTTGTGCAACATCATGGTGCTGGATGACTCCAGGCAGACAAGCTGTTGATGCTCTTTCCTCTAGTGACCAATTTCACATATTGTGGGGGAGTTACGGATAGTCTGAGCTAGTATTTTTGCTGTCCACATCCTGTCATTGTGTGTGTACAGAGCACAGCTAGGGACTGTGCTGTGGCTGTGCCAAAGTAATTTGTTTTCTAATATTTTTACTCCCCAAAAGGCTGCTTTGAAACCTCCTCAGTAATGTCAGCTGAATATTAACTGTAACATCAGATAATCAAAATACACTTTAAAAACCGGTTGAGAGGACTGCAAAGTTGCAGAAAATTCTGTTTCCCTGCTGTTTGGGCATTCCTTTGTTTTCTACCTAGCTGGTTGAAAGAGAGAATAGGATTCATAGAGATGTGCCCAGTTCAGGTCTGTGCACCAGGAAGATGCCAGTACTGGGGAGCATTATAATGGCAGAGGAAGAAGTGCAGACACTTGGTGCCAGGGACAGAAGTACTAGGGGAGCTCAATCACTTTATTAGCTATGGAGTTGCCAGGGCAAAAAAATACTAAGTGAATCAAAATTGCCTTGAAGAAGTGATGCCAACAGTCTCAGTGGAGCTCATGAGTAGATGTCATTGTGGAGGGCTTATCCCTCAGCCACAGCCAGCTGCTCCCTCTTCTCTCTGAGGGCCATGAGCTCTGAGAAAGTCCTGGAAATTCAATTCCCCAGGCTGAGCAGAAAGAAGACAGTGAGATAGCAGGGGCCTGCCTATAAAGTCTTTGTTGCCTGCTTAAATTTGACAGTTTAGAATGTATTCCCTCCTTTTCCCACTGAAACCTTTAATTTTCTTTTCTAGCAGAATACTATATCGCCTTCCTCATCCAAATCATCTTCTCAGTGGTTGAGAAAACCACCATCTTATCTGTCCTTTTGCTATTATTGTGCCCCACATGGCTTTGAAAAAAACTTACTGTAACTAACTTTTTTTAATGCATTTTCTAATTTAACCATTTCTGGTGGATGAATTGGCTGCATTGGTTCAATGGCTGAGCATCTCTGCCATTGTTTAGCTTAATAACAAGTTAATACAGTGAACTGTGTACATGTAGAAGCACTTTTTCATGCTTCTACCCCACTACATTACTGGAGAGATTTTTTTCGCTTTGGCAATAAACTATTTGCTTCTCATTGGAGATGACCGGTCAGCTGTACAGCAAAGCATCATTCTAATCCCATCTGAATAGTTAAAATAGCTGTGTGGGTGCATGTGTTCGGATAGCTGTGCTAAAAAGAACAATATGGTTGAAATCCATGACTGTGGTGGTCACAGTTTAATGCTGGTCATGGTAAATGCTCGTCAGTAGTGAGGTGTAAAATCCAAGCACTGGGAATGACACAGCCTGCCTGCCTGCCTGTCTGCAGAGGGATCAAAAAGTCTGTTTTGGCACTTTCATCAGTTTTTCATCATCAGTGCTGATCCCAGTTTTTCATTTCTGAAAAGGCGATTAGGATATGGTATGAACATCCTGGCCTTGGTCATCTGATTCCTGCTGCCTTACTCACCCTTTGACCACAGGCTAACTGGGGGGGTTAAAGCCCTGACTTCTTGTCTCAAATTGCTTCCTGCTCAGCTTGCATTTGTGAGGGTGATGGACATAGTGTAGAAGCTCCACTATGGGACGGCTCCAGTAGGAACCCATGTCCTGGTGCCAGCCTTTTCCCTCCTGCAGGCTTGGGCAGATGAGCTCTGCTGAGCCCTGCCTTGGTTTAAGTTTTCCCTCCAGATGTCGTCCCTGTCCAGAAAGCCACTGGGCAACATGTGGGTGCACATCAGCCACGGCTCAGCACCACTGGCCTCAGAGACTGGGCTCCCTTTTATTGCGGTTTCATAGCCAGATGTGAGTTCCACATCCAAACAGTTCAGGTTCAACTACATGTTCCTTTCTGCTGCCTTGATTCCATGGCATTTCCAAGTCCATAAAACAGAGGAGTGGAGCACACAGTGTGCTATGTCTATAATGGGGGCATACAGTTTCCCACCTTGCAGCACTGGACATATGGAGCTTTTATTCTTTTACTAACAAAAGAGAGATGAATTAGTTTGGGCAAGTGTGGCCACAGTGCAACTGTTTGTCTTCTGGGAAGGTAGTTCTGCTGGAGATCTCTGGGAATGGAAACTGGAGAATTTCTACCAAACATTATTGTTCCTCTGCTCTCATAGGAGACTTCTCAAGGACTGCATGGTTATGGCTGGCCACTACTTGTTTAGCATCTGGGCTCCAAATTTAATGTGTGTGCCTGCTGTTGTGTAGTAAACTTCAAACCTAAGACTCTTACTGAAAGAAGTCTTACTCAAAACTATCTAACATTATGAATTTACTACCTAATTCAAATATTTAGGTAGAACCTATAACAACTCTGTAGGTAAGTAACAGATTCTTCTTCCTTTTTCTTCACACATTTTACAGGTATAGGGAAGTTCTACTTCCACAATGTACTCAATGATTGTACTTCCCTATCCCCTCACCCCACACTGTAATGTGCCCAAAGAGTGACGTTAATATTAAAGAATGTATTGATAACTCAAATGTTCTTTTTGTCAAATGATATATAGCATACAGCATGATTCAAATCAATCCTGCAGATGCTGAGGCAGGGTGGATGCTTTTAATGTATGTTTGGGGTCCCAGATCCTGTGAAAGTTTCTCTACTTTGAATTGATGAACTCCAAATGCATGGGAAAGCTTCTAAAGTGAAGCATTGAACCCACCTTTTGATAAGATGTAACTGGAAATAATTCATGCAGTGTTAATTTTGGACATTCTCTGTAAATTGCTCCTGAGGATATTTACAATCTGCACTAAGCAAAATAATCAATAAATATTTGGAAATACTATTTGTCAAATAAATTTCTTTAGACACCATTTGCTGAAACAAATGCATAGCTGATATTCTGAAATTCAGAATATAGTAGTAAGAAGGAAGTAGTTATTTTCACGAACCAGTAAATCCGGTGTGAAAATTAAATATAATTAACATTTCCCAAATATAATTTCCTGTCTGCCTCTATTATGTACATAGCACATAAAACCCTAGGCTATAGTCAGATGTTGTTGACTAACTAATTAAGCACAGAGAGATATGTGAGAGGCTTCCTGAATTTTTCTTTCAATTTAAGAATTATAGCTTATCTTTAATCACTTCCTACCATTCTCCCCCACATCTTCCTCATGGAAAGCTGTACCTCTCTGCCATTTTGTGATAATGTAATAAAGATGCTTTACTTACAGAGATGGTACAGGACGTTTAATCTTCACAGCCGTCACCTCTCGGTCACTGTCTTCCTGCTCGGGTTTGTCCTCTGCCTCCCCATAGCCACTGTCCTGGGCATCCAGGCTGTCATCACGACACTTAAGTAGCAGGTCTTTCTTAGATACCTCTTTGTCCTCTTGTTCCATATGCTCCCAGCTCTTGGTCAGATCTGATACCATAGTTGAACACTTTCTCCTTATGGTTGGAGATAATTTGCCACTAAGAATTTTGTCAATAGCACTTGATTCTTCTTTGAGCTTGGTCATTTCTGAGCTGCTGTTGTTATTCTCATATCTTTCACTGAGGAGGCTGACATCTCCTCCTCGTTCGTAGGCTTTGCTGACAACGGTTTTGGTCACCTCTTTGCTTTTAATGTTGAACATTTTGAGGGCTTCATCTGATTCCCTTGATTTTTTTTCAGCATCTCTTATTGTCACCAAGGATTTTTCATCGTCTTTTCCTTGATCCCTCTTGACAGATGGAATTTGCCATTTTTTGAAGGAACTTTCTTGTATAGGCTGAGCTGATGAGTCTTCTGCAGTGGGGGCCCACCCAGAGGGCTCTTGCTCTTGCTTTTCATAGTGATCAGATGCCCACTGCTGCCAACCTCGCGCCAAACTGAAGACCTGGCTGGCCATTCGGATCTTGTGGACAGCCCTTTTCACAGGAGCAGCGCTCGGCTTTTCTTCAGGAGCCACGCTGCTGTCTGCTGCCATGCTGGCTTTTCCCCTTCTTGTGCTCAGCACCTTCTCAATGGATTTCTTGAAGTGAATAATACCCTCCGAAGAGGGCCACACAGATTTAAATAGAAGCAGGAGCAGTTAATGCCCATGGAAAATATGTGAAACACTTCTCACAAAGATATAGTATCCTCACTGTTGCAGAGGTCTTTTTTTAAAACACAGGGTTGCATTTCATCACAGCAGATGAATGATGCATGAAGTAAACAGGGTGACACAAACCTGTGCTGGAAATAGTGGGAAATTAACATCTCCTTTAGCCCCCCCTTCCTGGGACTGCTGGATTCCCAGTTTGTTGGCAAGGGTCATGTTCTTCTGGAAATGCAGAACTTGGGTTAGAGATCCTGATCAGAGTGATTGAAACTGCTAAACATGAATGCTGTCAGTCACTAACAATTCTGAACAGTATGGAGACTCTCATTATCACAAGTGAATAGCAGCTCTTGTCAGGGAGTGTGAAGCCAGAAGCAGGTTATGAATGAGAAATAGTTAGATGCATGTTCTAAAAAGATAATAGGTGATTTCTTCTTACTGCTCATGTGTCCAAGGAAATCCGGGTTTGTTAATTTTTTAAAAGGTATTTATGTGTTCTGTTCCCAGTCATTATCTATTAATGTCTGTCTCTTTAGAATGTACCTTCAGGGGGGTCTGGGAACACTATCGTGTTTGGTGTCAGCACTAAGGAAGAGGGAATCACTATCTCTGAGGATCAAAATAATAAGTTTGACTTGATCAAATGGATAAATGATCTCTTAGTTTTAGGATTTTGAAAAAATAAAGTATAAACTATTTAATTCCTTATTACTTTTCAAGAAAATTGTATATAAAACTTCACCTTTACTTACATATTATTTACAGTAAAATTATGTTTACCACATACAGTATAGAAAAATTCATTTTTTCTGGGAAACTTTGTGATTTTGTCATTCCAGAGGACTTCCTAGGTTATGTTTATGTTTTGAATTAGTACAGTTTTTTAGCTAATTGATACATCAATTTTTGCATAACAATAAACTGACATTTTTCTGAGATATGGTCCTGTGGTATCTTGTTTCTGACTATAATGTTTCCTAAATAGGAACGGAAAATGGCATTGCTTTTTCAGCGCATCATACCTTGCAGATTACAGGATGACCTGTTGCACTTGCCATGTGGTGCTTTGAGGCATACTGAACTTCAAGGAATTCTGTTGGCTTTGTTGGTGTTACACCAGAGATAAATATGGACTCTTGGTCCTCTGCCTTTTTATCTTCTCTCTATTAAAGGCTGGTCTGTTTGAAGTAGGTCAGATGATATTTAGCTCTTGATTAATGCTATAAGACTACATCATACCTTTGACTTCTATGCAGGATTCCTCATTAATCTGTGGTGTAATTTCCTCTTGAAAACTGATGACATAATGTAAGTTAGTGTTAATATTAGATATTTACTCATAGTTTTATTTTAGAAAAAAATGTGTCACCTCTGTATACTGTATAGTCTCAGCTATTGCCAACTGCATCGTAACTGTGAGCATTGTGAGGTGTACTGGTACAGCTTGATTAAGAAGCACGTGTTACGAAGCATTTATTTTGGGGACATTTTAAGGCTAATCAGGAATGGGATCTTTTTGTGCTTAAAAAAACCCACATGTGCATGCCTGCATGAACACAGGGTGGTGTATGTTCCCTAAAATACAAGAAAGATTAAAGTGAAAGAAGAGAATAATGCACATGAAGAATAGGAGCATTACACCAGCTCATTATATCATTCCACGTGGTTTCTTCACTATAAGGGTGGTTGAGGCTTTAGGAATGAGCTGAAAGCTAAATACAGATGTGAGGGGTAAGGCCAGGGAAGGACTGCAGTGAAACACGTAACTGTGAAAGGACAGTCTGGGAGAACAAGGCCAATAGAGACCCCTGTTGTAAGGCAGAGGCAGCTCCACCTTCATGTGTTCCTGTTACTGTTTCATCTGTTCTTAAAAAGTACCAGCAGTAGACACTCCCCACAGTCTAGGCAATCTATCCCACTGCTTAACTAGCGTAAAGGAAACCTTTTCTGATGTCTTACCTCTACCTCTGTCACTCCACTTTAAGCCTCTATCAATGCCAAGAACTGAAAAATCCCTCCCTTTCTGAAACAGCCTTTCTTTTTGAGGACTCCTGTATTCCTCTTCAGTCTTCGGAATGACCCCATTTCTTCCCAAGTTTTCTTGTGTTTCTGGGATCCGTGGTCGCGCTTTTCCACTTATTGGTTTCCCTACATTAGGTCCATGTCTTTGTTCAAGTGTGATACCCAAAATGGGGATGGTATTCTGGGTTAAGCTCACCCATAATGCAGTTGTGCTCTTGATTCATATTCTTCTTGTAAACCCCAAAGTTTCCAAAGGCTTTCCTGCTTCATGTTTATCTGTATTCACAGACTGTTCCTTCATATGTAACCATTGCTGTTATTGTGTTCTCTTTTTTCAGGTAATTTTTTCAATTTGTCATGGTCAATTTGATTTCTAATCCCTGTTCAAGTGTTCTTGCAATATGACTCATATTTGTCGTGTCAATTCCACTTTCAGAATCACAAATAGAAATAGTACCTAAATATGAAGTAGATCCAGTTATTAAGCAATTTTGAGTTTGATGGAGCTTTATTACTATTTATTTTTGTGTGGTTTTCCACACAAAATTTAGTGTATTACACACACAAATAGAAAACACTGTAGTATTCGAATGAATTTTATATATAAGATGAAAATAATAAACTTGACCAATATCAAGATGTGTAACATCTGCTGCACCTGCCTAGCTTTGAGGGTTGGACCAGATGAACTCTGGAGGTCCCTTCCAGCCTCAACTATTCGGTGATTCTGTGATCTTCTAAAGCCTGCTACTTTGCTGTAAAATAGAATGAAGATTGGTTTAATGTAATTTGTAATTCCTGAGGAATGTTTGGAAATTACAGCACTTTTCAAAGAACTTCTTAATAAAGAGACTTTTTTTTTTTTTCTAGTGTACTTGACCTTGGCATACTGGTCATAGTCCCACAGACTTAATATTTCCATAGTTTAGATAATCGACAATGAAAAGTTACTGAAAACCACCAAAATTACAGATTTAAACTACTATTAAGTCTATGTTGCACAACAATATATTAAACGAATTTTTAGTTTAAATTGGTCACTATACTAAGCTGAAGTGTTATAAAATCACAGGCTTGTCCAAAGTGCTAATGAAACATCGATCTAATTATTCTGAGAATAATTAAATTTGTGGTGCTTAATTTTAGGGTGTACAGTGATTTTGCCTTGATCGTGTTGAACGGTGTCTCATGTTATATGGTGATGTTGCCAGCAAGAAGTTAATTATAAGTATAAATAATGTCTGAGTCATCCAGTGAGATTCATACTGTGTGGGTAGCTTATTTTACAAATGTTTTACTGCAGGAAGAGTAGAATTTATTACTTCATGCTTTTCAATTTTTATTCTTAGAAAAACAGTCAGCCAAGGCTACACCTAGATTTCCATATACAATCTCCCTATTGGCACTTCTAAAAGCCAAGAACCAGCCCTTAAGGCACAGGTAAGTTTTAGGCAGGCTAGACTTGAACCACGTTTTCTATGTGTCCTCCATACATCACAAGATCACAAGGTATATTCCAATGAACAGCAAGGCTTGGTGAGGGTGATTATTGTGGGTTTTCACAAGTTCAAAAACTATCCTTGAGGTCAGAGTTGGGGGACCATTTCTTGCAGAAGATATATAGGAGAAACGGTAATTTTAGAAAGTAATAGATGAGTAAGCTTGACACATTCTGAAGTTGTAAACTCCCTTGCCCTTGATCCTGGCTGCCTGCAGTTCTGGGATTTAATCTCTTTGACACCTTGAGGCAAGTCTGCACATGTTCACAGGACCTTGTTTCTGCTTTTGGATTGCTTCCTTTCACCTAATACATCTGACTTCCTGAATCCAAACTTGGGAAGAACCAGTTGAAGTGTTATCAATGTCAGTGTTAAAAGCTGGAATATTTTTGCTGTGTGGTGGTTTGGTTTCTCTGCCCCCCTCCTCCTTTCCCGCCCCCCCAGTGGATTACTCTATGTATATTTAAAAATCCTTTTACTTTCTCTTCACTGTAGCACATTAACAGTCTCTAGGATACCAGTTTGCATCACTTTTTTTTGGTTTTTTTGTAATGTTTAAGGATGATTAATTTTAAAAGTAGGATTGTATCCTGCATACATTACTTTACCTTGTCAGATGTTGATATAAGTTATTCAATGTTTTTGATGCCAAGGAATTTAATTTTGGACCAATGTAAGTGTATGAAAGATGCTGTCTTCCGCCTCAGAGTTAGTGGTGAATAACAAGAACAAGCTGTGTTTCTTTGTTAAGTATAGCCAGCTGCCATTATCAGTAATCTCAAGACTGAATTTTCTTTTCACCATGACATGGTTAAAGTACATTGTGTCAGAGCGTTGCATGTTGCCAATTATCACAGTAAATGTGGGAAAATGATTAGCCTTCAGGATTTCCTTATTTTTAGAGTTCATGTCAAACATGTTCCTTCTAGCAACAACAGTGAACAACTGTCTCGTTTAGCACACAGTTTCATGTACAGTCCAGGTGCCTGAGCTCTAAGAAGTGGACTGCTCCTGAGCCTTTGGGCCGGGTCCTGTCCAACTATTAACAGAAAGCAGTCTATACATTCATTGGTGCAGTTTCTTGTGCTGGTATCCTATATCTACGCATAGCCTTTTTTTTTTTTTTTAGTTGAAATTCTGTCATACTGAGAAACCACCCCTGTGTAATTAGCATGTAATATTGGGTCTATATGTGATTATGTGTCACTAGAAGAGAGATCAGGGCTTATCCATGACCTATCATAACATTTGTGAAGAAAATAAATCCAATAAACTGTCAAGAAAACCCTGGTCAGAACTATGGTTGAAAGAGTCTTAGTTGTGGAAGGGTAGTGGTGGGAGAGGGAAGACTCACTATCCAGTGGCAGCAGCTGTAGCTAAGGATTTGCAGAGCAGAGCCCCAGAGCTCCTCTCAC